CTTCTGAATTATGGCCCCAACAGTGCTCACTGGAACCTTCAAAAGTTTAGACATTCTTCTGTAACCGATGCCAAGGACCCAAAATCAAAAACCCAGGCACATCCAGTCACTCAGAGGAACGGGTTCTCCTCTGACACCCATCAGGCAGGAAACCGGAGCTGCTGCAGGGTTTTGTTTCTTTGACCGAGGCTGCTCTCATCTGAGTTTATTTATTCTGTGGAACAATCTGTGTTGCTGTTTCGTTTTCTAAAACTAAATATTTAAACCTTAAGAGCCTTCTGGTAAAAATACAAAGGAAAAAGTTTATTCAAATAGTTAAATAATTATAAACAGATTATTCATTTGTGAACCAGAGGCTTTGAATTGTTTGTCTCTGTAATGTTTTACATTTTAATGCAGTTGGAATGTTAATAGAACAGGCAGAATGGATGCGGTTATTTAATGTATGATGACATTTTAATCCCACGCAGGAAAGTTCAACTGGATAACTTAGACTTTTTTGAATCATATAAATTTATTACTTTATTACATACACAATTTAGTTGAAATCTGCATAAAACCAGGTGATGACACTTCTCACTGTTAGCTGTAGTCTTTTGTTTCTGAATAATGTATAATTCAGTCACAGAACAAAGCACCTGGTATATGGAACATACGGGTTTTAAAGCCTCTGGAGGTTTCTTGTATTTCTTATGAAAAGGTCCAGAGGTGCTCTTTTAAAAAAGATGAATTGATGTTGCAGGACGACTTCCCACACATTTTTAAATCCCTCTTTGGAATACAGCAACGTATTAATTCCTCCGCAGCGCTCGTTTGCAGCCGAATCAGAAGCACGAAGCAGAACTAAATGAAATGAAGTCAAACTAAGCCCCTCTATTAAAACTGGTCTTCTCTCTGCATACGGTGTATTCTTATAAACAAAATGTGTGCTATTTAAATATAACCTGCAGAGCTTTATTTTTAAATGTTCTGAAAGTTTAACAAACTATTGTTTAAATTGTTAGAATCTGTGGCAGCAGTGTATTCTAGTTGTGTAGCATAACACTAGTGTATTGAAGAATAGTCCAACAGCACCAGGAAACAAGTGAATTTTGTTTTTGGGGCTGTGGGCCTTTTTACACACTACAAGGAGCAGAGGTCCCAAAGGTGCAGGACTTTAAGCACTTAGGGTTGACTGTTCAGGAAAACAAGGAGTAAAGTAAAAAGGTGAAGAAAAGAGTCCTGGCACTGCAGGCAGGATGTGACAAAAGCGTGGCTTCAAAGGTCAAAGGAAAGTTTTAATAACGGGCGGTGAGACCAGCTATGGTTTGGAGACAGAGACAAGAGACAGAACTGGAAGAGTTGAAGATGTTTAGGATGGAGATGTTGAGGAAGAAGATCAACAAGCCCCTCATAATTGGGAGTGGCTATGCATGCTGTGTTTTTGGA